TATACTTTTTATACTATTCTTCTATTGAGTATTTGAAAAGATTTACTTGAGTAGTAATAATATATAAAACTAAATCATTTTAGAAAGTTTATTTTATTCGAGTATATAACTTGAACTTTAATATAATATCTAAAGCACTAATAGAACTTGAATAGTAAAATACTTATTAAAGCTTCGATATATAGATTGAGCTTTATTAAATGAATAGTATTACTAGTAACTGATATCTATATTATTAGTACTAGTAGTATATATTGAGAATAAATCAAATCATATTATATCAAGTCAAATATATATATATATACACATAGTCATCAATATGTAATAGTAAGTGAAAGATTCCAAGATAGATTAATAAGCTAATAATACAGAGGTACAAATACAACATTCCCCATTCCCCACAATAGAAAAACACAACAACATGCCATGTTGTGTGTGAGCTGGCGGTCCTCGCAGCGCAGTTAATCTTGTTATTACATCGCTCGATTGCTCGATTGCTCGATTATCGATTCATAACGTACTTGTGGAGTGGTATATTATTGTGTTAGTACATATAATAAGCTGGCGGTCCCCGCAGCGCAGCTGAGCTTGCTTGTTGTTACATCGCTCGATTGCTTGATTAGCGATTCAACACTGCGGGGACCGCCAACCATGCCCTGTGGCTGATTCTGGCCAGGTTGAAGCTGCGGAGTGGCATGTTGTGTTAGTATATGCAATGTATGGTAAATTGTGGTAAATTGTGGTGAAATTAAATGTGATTGGTGATGAAGTGTGTGGGTGTGTGAATGTGTATGCAATGAGATGAGAGGGGATATGATAAGATGGGATGGGATGGGATGACTTACAATCATAGACATGTATATATACATGAAAAAGGAATGGTGATCCCCATGGGACCACCAACCGTGCCCTTTGGCTGATTCTGAGCAGATGAATCTTTGGAATAGCATGTCTTATTAGTACAATATAAATTATGGTTAAATGAAATTGATGATGAAGTGTATGGATGTGTATACAATGAGATAGGATGGGATGGGATGGGATGACTTACAACCATGCACATGCACAAGGCAAGGCAATAGAGACAGCAATGAAATGGTGATTCCTGCAGCACCTGCACCTACATTATCATGCTGTATGTAGATATTCTTTGAGAAATACATACATCGATCTCTCGCAGAACAGAGAAACATAAACATTCTGCGAGAGATCGATGTATGTGGTGCAAGTGATGTAGGTGCAGGTGCCGCAGGGAAACCACTTGCACTGTCTTGCAATAGGTGTGGACTTGCGAGAGTGCAATGCAATCTTCATATTGTCTTGTGAAGTTGAAATTGAAGTTGAGGAGGTTGGTTTTGTTGATTGCTTGATTTTCTTTGTTGATAGGTGGGTGGGTGCTTGATGGTGGTGGTTTTAGTACTCTTTACTTATGACGGGATATGGTGAATTGTGAAGTGGAGTTGGACTTACAGAATAAAGATGTTTAGGAACAGCGAAACAAGGAGGAAAGATGTGAAGTCCAGAGTCGGATGTTTGATGTTTGGTGTTTGTTGTGTTGTGTTCTGTTCTGTTCTGTTTAGGTTAGTGAATGTGGAAAGAAAGACTTTGTAAGGTCGGTCTTACGATTTCTTGTGGTTTTCTGAGATATTTGTTAGTATATGAATTATAGATCAAGGAAGAAGCAACTTACAGACAACTATTGAGATGCTGTGGAATATCTACAGATCATCTTGGTATTTTTGATGGAGAGGAAGGAATTCGAGGATGAAGTTGAGGTTAAGAAGTGAGGTTGAGAAGTCAAGAAAAAAGGAAGAACTTAAGAAGAGAAATCTTGAAATAAGCGAAATTGAAATTGAAATTCCAAGATCTGTGTGTTTCAGGTTTCCTTAGCGGCATCGGATTTGGGAAAGAGATTAAAGAATCAAGTTTGATTAGTAGATAGATTCGGATAATCTCCCAACCGCTTGATGTGAACTTGAAGAAGATTCTAGCAAGATACTATCATCTTGGCCTCGGACTTTAGATGTTGATGCCTAGAAGACTGGAATACAGACAGCCCTGCCAAATATCGGCTGAGTTTCGAAGAAAGAACTTTGATTGTGTCAGTGTCAGTGTCAGTGTCTGCTTTTTGGAAATGGATCAGTTAGGAACAGCTGGACACGAAAGATCTTTATCAAGTCCAGTTAATTACTATATCAGTTGTGTCTATTGATATGCCTCTCTCAAACATACTAACATTGATAAACAAACTCCAATCAGAAGAGCTTCTTGTAAGGTGAATCTTCATCCTCTTTTCCTCAAAAGCAGCAACCCACTCTTCTTTCCCAATCCCAATATATTCTTTAAACACTCTATACGATATACTGTCTATCTCCCCCTAGAGAACTCCAAAACATCATTCTTCCCATAAGCATCCATCATATCCAGTGCATATATACCCATTCCATCCTCCTGAAATGTATCTCAATCCTTCTCAACCACAAACTCAAGAAGTTCAACAATATGATCATCCTTTTCTTCTAAATATTGCTTCTCTCTCTTTATAACAACACACAATAAATTCTCACATCATTCTATCAACGAAGTAAGTCAGTCACCTTGGTGCATATTCTTGCACTGAAACCGACTTCGGTACAACGGTCCTGGAAGCAACTCAATAAGTGAATGTGATTCTCTATCCCTGAGTTTATATCACAGAACAATATGCCAGAATGATCTTCTGCATCTTCGAAAATAAATATCTACACTTATTGGCGAGACATGTATTGAGTTACGTTTGGGCTGAATTCGCTATACAATACATCTTTCCTGAATTCTTGGCATTTCGAACATCACATCTACTGCTCTTAATCTTCTCATTCCAGCTCTAACAGACTTGTATACCTTTCAGCTTCATACTTCTATCTCCGTCGCATCTACAATTTCCGTGCCACCTGTGAGCACTAATGTGAATCATTTGAGATTATGCCCACCTACTTTTGTCGTTTCCACTTTTACACTAATTCGATATACAGATTATTGCCGATTTCTGTAAAACTAATCAATTCAACATAAAGATATGTTATAAACGCCTGGAACTAGAATGGCATCTTAAGTTCTGATCTCAACCTCACTTACCACTACAAACATATATCTAGATGTAACTGATATGCATTATCCTTCATTTCTCATCCAAAACCTTGTTGGAGCTTTGATAAATCACTATAATGTATTCACATAATACCAACATCTTTCGAAACCTACCTTTACTCCTTGTGCATCACATTCCACATTTCAGTCAGATGGACACAGTTTCGAGCACACTGTATGCGAAGGACATGTAAGTTATCACAGTGAATGAAGTGTCTTTAGCTCAATCTACAGCTTTCAACGAAGACCTTCATCTTCGAGAGATTTAGAATAAACACACGAGAGGGAATAGTATAAGCAAGTAGCACGTAGACCTTTGAGTCAAATTTCTCAATTATATTATAGGCTTTGATATGTACTGGATTATTATATCATTTTCTGTGCCCCAAATCTTTCACTTACCAAATGTTCAAACTCAAACCTAAGACCTTGGGTTTCTTTGGCCGGATGCATATATTATTTCTAGGAACAGCCTGAGTATGCTAACTAATTTCAATAAACTATCCAGGACAAGATTCCGGAGATCCGTTTATCAACTTACAAAAACCGAACTATAATTTTTGAATATAACTACTTATCACAGAGATTCAATGTAAAATGAAGCTGGAATAAAGGATAATGTCTCACAATGCACCATGAGTATACCAAGAATCATCAAAACACACCATAATAGGAGGCCGGATAAAAGGAAATCTTTTAGTTTCTGTGAATCAAAAGGACATCATAGCTCTATTCATTCATCTTCGGATTGCATTACCTTTCATTGTTCTAGGATTATATTGGATATTATTACAACCTCTTTTAGAATGTCAGATAGAAACCTTTGAATTTCTATTACTCAGTTCGGTTTTATGGCCCTAACAAATTCAAACTGTATGCAATGTTTCAAATGCCACCTAATATTTTATATGTTACGATTTTTCCAGCACATTAAATTATATACACCCTCTAATCAGAAAACATTATACTGTAGTCTACCGCAGCATAAACTATTATCCCACCTTTAACAATATCAGACGGGAACCCCTGAATCTCGCTAATCCCACTCAACAATCAATCACTTTCAAACCAACAATCATCAAATGATCACCCCTTCAGGTGTATACCTTATTGTTCAGAAACTGATAACTCTAATTAAATTCACCTTTGCAATAACCGATATATTAATCTTCCTCACATGACTTCCCGTGTCCCAGTCCTCAATCAGGTAAAGCGCATAGCGTCAATTAGGAGAAGGAGTCTTGTCCTTGTTTATTTATTTATTATCTTATACCAGATATGTTCCTTTCCTGAAAAATCCTCACAACTCATACAACTTTGGTAAGTCACAACGTGTCTTGATCTTCCATCGATCTCCCGTCGATCTTCCAATGTTCTTGATATATCCTGATTTATTTCCCTGCTAACCTGTCTTTTATACAGTACAATAAACTCCCCTTGATGTACAATAAGATGGAGGAAAGCGGCGATGAAGAAGACTACCCTGATCGTAATACTCGATACCCTTCTATTCCTCCCGAGAATGCCGAGAATTTTGCTTTGGGTTCGCAGTATCTTGATTTAACTGTACAACAGTATCATCAACAGCGTGCTGAACAACAACGTGCTGAACAACAACAACTTGCTGAACAGAAACGTGCTGAGCAATTGGCTGAGCAACAACATCACATCGCTCCTGTTGATGTTCCCCACCATGACGAGGAAGTTGAAGATCAACCTCCTGCTACCAAACGTCGAGCTTCTACTACCAAACGTCGTGTTCCTGCTACCAGACGTCAGGTTTCTGCTGCCACACGTCAAGCCCCTGTTTCCGAACATCAAACTCTTGTCACTAAGCGTTACACTCGTGCCAATGTTGCTAGAAATAATGGAGTTAAGATCAAGGAAGAAGGTGAGATTTTAATCCCAAACGGTCATTGAATTTTTTTGATTGACAACCCACACTAGTTGACGATGATGAAGATAACCACCTCGCATCTAATTCAGAAGAGGAAGACAATGAGCAAGGTAAGAGTCTTCTTCCCACCAATCACCAACTTATATCTACTAACCAACCACCCCAGTCGACGAGCCAGCCACCGTATCAAAGTCCGATCTCAAATACTCCACCAAAGAGATGCGAGACCAGCAAATGTCCATCTTCCACCGTAAAGAATTTGCCTTTTGCGAGATTGCCATTACAAACCACGAGCACATGATCATCAAAGGATTAAATCACGTCACACCACAAACATTCTCCTTGCCAGACAAGAACGGTAAATATCACAAGAAAAAGCGCATTCGCATTACCTGGGCCGAGAGGGACATATTGAACGCGTAAGTCTCTCTTTATTGAGAATACATACGGTCCTGCACTGCACTGCATCAAGCTAACAGATCATAGATGGCGTATTGCTAATGGGCTTAAACCTCACAAATTAAAAGATGGGGCCAAATATGCGGCGGCTCGTGAGTACTGGCGTTTGCGAGCTCCTCTTCATGTGGAACCACGTAAGACTCGGGAGTGGCGCGAGTCCAGAGGACCTGTTCCCGCTCCTTGATTTGTTGCAGTTGCTTGATTTGGGATTCGGGATTGAGTTTGAGATTGGGATTGGGATGAGCGTTTGTTGCAAGATACCCGGTTATAGCAGTTCTCGAAATGATTCGATATTAAAGAATGTATAGCAGATTCTCTGGTGTGATTTAGTACTGAGTTGACTTCTGATGACTTGGATGTAGTTCTGTGAAATGTGTTTGTAAAAGTAACTCTATAAGTCCATACCCAACCTTGGACAGGGCAAGGAATTAAGAACATCATGCTACAGCAACATCTTTGCCTCTTATCCTCTTTCCCTCCACAAGATCAACCCAATATCCAACAAAACTAAGAGATTAGTACACATTAAAAATTTCCATACTTTAGAAGGGATAAATCACCTCTCTAAACACTTGCTACTTCCTGTACCTGTCCAATTTCCATCTCGCCCACATATGCAATTTCTTGTTCCACTGCTCCAAAATCATTAATTGCATTTGATAACCCTGCGATAGTTTAATATATATTTTCATTTCCAACACCTGCATCTTTACAGTTATGGAAACTTCGTTCCATTTGGGGTGGTAAGTGGTAAGGAGGCATACATAGGGTTTGATAGTTAATTCAATATTATTATTCTCATATAAATATGTCGATTTCCTGCTCACTCTACCCATTATATTCTGATTGGAATAACACGAAAAGTCACATTTTGGAAACTAATTATCATACTGGATGTACTCATAGTATATGGTATGTTGCTCACCGAGACTCTTCTTCCAAATCATTCACAAAATGCAAATGGATATTCAATAAGATGAATCCATATCGATCTACTCGAGGATACCTAATTCTAATTTTTAGAATCTAATATTTGATATGATCAATTGAGAACTTTTGCAATATCAGGTTGATCTCTAACCAATTGGGAAAATAACTTTTGCGGTACAACAAACTATCATTCCTTCACATTCGTATACCCTCAAGTATGAATGGGTTTAACAACATTCCATTCTCCAAAGATTCAAAATCTCTATCAGTATCTACCCCTACCCCCACCACTCACCTTATTTATCCCTTTTCACACAATCACATCAAACACCCAAACACAAAACCTCCACCAAAGCACCCGATAATCATTTTCAACATCTATTACCCCTTCTCATATCTGAATTCCCGTGTAGGCTTCGCACTATCTACCTCGTACTGCCGGTATTCCCTTTCGTGGAACATTATTTAGATTCAGATAAAGCTTTAGTTTCCACCCTATGTGTATATGTATGAGATGCGGATATCTTTTGCAGCAGCACTGATTTTCAAAGAAAAATCTGGGGTGTTGAGCGGTCTTTAGTCGATAACTACGTTCGGTAGTGGAGCTGGGTATCCAAACGTAAGAGATGGATGGCTTCATCGAATCGTCTGATCACACTTGTGGATTTGGGGAGACTGGCCTGGCTTCTTTGATAAAGCGATTGGAGTTGTTTAGTAAATGGCAACGAGGAGGAAAGGTAAGTTATGAATGGTTCTATTGTGTGAAACATCACTTGTGAAAGTTTGGAAATGATGACCTAGATGAAAAAGTATTCCAAACTTTAGGACCCTCAGAATCAAGTGAGCAAAGCCGGATTATATCATAGACGCTGTTGAATTTTACTTGGAGTCTGATCAGATATGTGAAAATGCAAGCTGTGAACTGTCATATCGGCATCTCAAGTCGTGATACTCGAGTACAACAACCATCATCATCGGACCTTTTCACATAGGTATTCAAACCATCAAGTGAGTAACGGGCCACAAACACTACTATCACACCACCTTCTCACCTCATCCCCTCACTCCAAAACTTCGGTGCCATCAAAGTTTCATCGTAGAAAGCGAGCCTGCAAACAAGTATTAATACCAAAGAGAAATTAGCTAAGTTTCAAGCTTATACAACGTATCTCCAAAACTATCACTTCACTACTGCCATCCTATTGAGAAACCATCTTTCCAAGTATCCTCTCTGCTCCGGTGATTGTGTGGCTTTCACAGCAGTCACTTGTGGGTTACAGATCCTAGATCTTGCGTTTCCATACCGTATTTTGACGCGCGTGATGGTTTAATTATACCTGATGTAAAGGGAAGTGAAGTGATTATTTTGATGCTAGCTATGGTATATGGTGTACTCATTCCGAGTGAGGAAAGCTGGAAGAACTTGATGATTTGTATGGTGACGGTTATGATTACTTATTTTGTAACTTGTGAAGGCTTGCTTGAGGCATATTTGATTCATTACTTGTATGATTTGTATACCAAAGGGTATCATATCGACGTTACTCACGGTGACACGGGTTCCCAATGTACGAGAATAAACATAGTAATACTACTCGAGTAGTATCAACTGTAACAACAATGATAACTACTCTTCAATATCGAGGAAATTCTGATATTATTGAATCTTGTACTTGAATAGCTTTTAGATACAACCAGCTACTCGAATACATTCAATCCCAAAATGATTTGGAGAATTAGTGATTGTTTTGTTGCTACACATCTGATATAAGAATCTCAAAGATATCACCTCCAGATCATAGTCCGTATGGATGGATATACATGTATATATTCATCAATGACCTCGAATATCATAGTTTACTTCCGACTTCTCGTTCGGCGAGATTCTGAATTGGCCAGACACATTTGGCTACTTATTATACATGGATTCGAAAAGTGGCAGCTGACTTCGAATCGCCGAGATTCAAAGGTTATGTATAGTAATCCAACCATGGTAGTAATCAGACTATCCAGGATGGTGATCTGACCATGTGTGGTGATCTTACTGTACACTGTAAGGTGACAATGATAATAAATCAGACCTCGGTATAGTATTGCGAGTTTCTTGGTTATACTATAATAATATGTGGTCTCATTGAGTCCTCGATGTATACGGCTCATATCATTTCTATATCCCTTACTCTTTATCTCCGCAATTTCTAAAAAGAATAAGCAGATGCCCACCCAATGTTGAGTAAACGTGGAGGTGAGTTGGAAATAGAGGTTTAAGTGGAGGCGGGTAAGATTTGCACGATCTGCATTAACAAACAACAGCCCCTTTATTCATCTACTTTGAGGCTATCATTTCTGTGTGATTATAATCTTTGAGCTAGATCCAAAAGATTAATCTTAATATCTAAAAAAGTTCAAAAAAAGTTCATTTTGTATCAAGAAATTAGTGTAAAATAGATATTAGATTGAAATTCAGATATAAAATCGAATTTGAAATAAAAGTTCGTAAGGAATTAAAATCACGAATTCTTTTGGGATATATATTATTAAACTAGATATAATAAAAGAAAATTCTTTATTTTATTTGTTATATTCTGTGTTTTTTATAGAGTCTTAGTTATTATAGTTTAGTCTTTACTTTTTGATCTATCTTTTATTCTCTTATATAAAAAATAGGAAATCTTTTAATATTTAATATATTTTTATATTAAAACATGATTCAAAACCTTTGCTTTATTATAATTTAGCAGAATCTAGCTTCTTGTATCTAAAGGGATTATTATAGAACTTATAGAATCAAGAATGGAAAAGCCAGAAATAAAGGATGGAACTTTGTATCCAAAGTAGCCCCTTAGCTGAAGCATTCCAACTTACGATCAAATTCGATGTCCATATCCTTACGAGCTAATTTCTGACCGTAATACCATCACTACCTACTTATTGCAAGACTGGCTTGAAAGGAAAGGAAAGGGAATATACGAGATTGAATGGATTGACATCCACCCCTCATTTTACGAATTGACTTCCGTATTGGGTAAATAATTCGCCGTTGCTGGTATCGATAAGATGAAGATCTGGTCTGGCCTGGTTGTAGATGTGATATGATATTGCTACTGCTTATTCCGATCTGTACGTACTATGTACCGGATTCGCTCTACGACTTACTACTCTAGCCAATCTCTACCTTGAAACTCACTGTTTATGTGGCTGATGGGAAGGAAGTACAAGTGTTTACTAATCAATCAATGTATACCGTCTCGGATCCTCTGACTGCTCTTTCCTTACTTCAGTTGTGCGCCGTTTATGCGATGACATATCAGTAATTAGTTCTATTATTCTACGAAATGGTGAGTGAGACCTACTGGTCAGGTCACCTATAGTCTCACCCCGCTGGCGCTTGCTAGAAACGAGCTATTGATATTGAGGGGCGATCCGTTCACTATCCACGACAAAATATCATCAATAATCAAATTGCAGACACGAGAATGGTCACCAAGATGCATGCAGATCAGCAAAGTTGATGGCTTGAGGATTTGAAGATAGCAAGCATCGTTTTCATATACCAAGAAGATGTATAAAGAGGTCATAAAATCTCCTTCTGGAAATGCGAATCCAATAGCAGATCATCACATCTACTTCTCCCACAATCAATCTACTGCACCGAACAACTTTCCAAGTCGCCAATTTAATAAATTCTTTTCATCATGAAGTTCCTCTACACCACCAGCATTATCACCGCCATCCTAGCCGCTGTAGTCCCCGCTCTTCCCGTCGCCGACGCCGAAGTCAACTCTGCTGCCACTCTCCAGAAACGAGACAGTGCTTCCTTCTCCGTATACACCGACTCCTGTATGTCTCATTCCACCCATTCCATCCCATCCATCCCTTTCAAATCCTCCCATCTATTCTCCCAGTTCCCTCAACTAACACTCTTACAGCATGCTCCGGAGGATCCGTCGGATTCACCACGGGATCCGCTACACAGAAAGGCAATTTTGGCGCTACGCAACGTAGTATCCGCGTCACGAGTTTGACGCCGGGATACCATGTTACGTTTTATTCTGGGTTGAAACAAGGCGGGGATAAGTCGCAGTATGGAAGTGCGACTGTGGGTCAATGTTTTTCGAACGTGGCATTTTTGAGCTGGGCATATTATGCTGGAGCTTAGATGTGATGTGGGTTTTTGAAGGTTGATGTGGATCCGGGGATTGGAGATTGATGTTAAGGGGAGAACTTGGAAGACGGGTTATGTGATATGGTAACGAGGAAACGATTAAGGAAACTGGTGATGCAAATAGTCATTCGTTTATTTGGCTAGGAATGCCTGTTTCCGACTGCAGCGGAGGAAATACAGACTTTTTCAAGACCAGCTTTGCGCTCTTCTATGGATTGAACGGTAGTTTTATCAGTGATGGTATTCTTTTGTCAGTGTTGCCAACTTGCCACGGTGAGTTCCGCAGTTGGAATCAGTGATTGATATCAGTACAGAGTAATCAAGAAAGATAACCAGTAAGCTTACCTACCGGGTAGTACGTGTTGAATCTGTTGTTGATGCATACTACTGTAATAGCGTACGAGCTAACACTAGTGTGAACTCCAACTCTAACACGCGATTCTCGCACCCCACTTGTTTTTAATATATATATATCAGAATTTCCAACCCCTATCATAACAACAACAACATCTTTGATGGTCTAACGGTCATGATTTCCGCTTGTCATCACATTATTGTGACAATAGCGCGGGAGACCGGGGTTCGACTCCCCGTCAGAGAGTCACTTGTGACAACCTGAGGTTGTAGTAATTTATTTTTTGCTTTTTGCATCTCCTGCAGGTACTCTGAGCAAATATGATGATTTGTTTTGTGGTTTGTTTTGTTAGAGATTAATCAAAGTCTTCGGAAAATAAGTGGAGTTGGGATGTGGTCATAGCGCCCAGAATGTTTTCTTTTGTGATCACGGGTGATTATGTAAGTAAGCATCAACCAAATCTCCTTAGCATTGTTTCCGCATTCTCTGAATGAGAGGATTGTTCTCATCACTCATTATATACACCTAAACCGAATCTATTTCCTATTTATAAACCATTTATTTCTCTTTTTGTAGCATCACAATAAGCCCCCATGCATTTGAGAAAGGTACATAGGTACATTCTTTACATCACATCAAAACAATGTCCAAAGTGATATCATATGCGGGTGTACCATATGATGCCAGAGAGGAGGCCAACCGCCAGTGTGAAGCTACATAATACGAATTCCCTCTCTAAATATTCTCTCCATAGGTCAAGTTGATCATGAGTTTCGAAGAATCAGACTCAGATGGATTCGAATTTATCAGATATCAAGTACCGGTATCTCTTTTGACTTCACGACAAGCTCGGAGATATTGAAAGCATGGCTCGAATCCACCGATTACTTCGATGACTCCAGCGAGTTTTATCGACACCTAGCTTCCTTCATAAGCTGCTGGTACTGTCTGTACTGGTCTCTGGATTTGTGATACTATTGGTATCGGAAAGGGTATGATTCGGATGATCATAGCAAGTCTTTGGATTAAAGGTGTGTCTGGAGTTGGAAAGTTGGTGGTTTTTACTTCTTTATGTACATCATCTGAAGACCACTGAATTGAGGACCACTGAACTTGTCCTTGTATTATCATTCTTTTACCGCCACATCATAGCATCGAATCGAAACTACGAAATCTCATTCGCGATTGATTAATACTGCTCTTGCCTTATAGTGTTGGACTCCAGGCGACCCTAACTGTATGGTATTATCGGAAATGAACCGATTTTCGGACGATGAATTATAGGAATGTGTACTCCTTGGTTTTTCTTCAGTCAGAAAAGGCTACTTACTGCATTAATGATGCAATGGATGGATGAAATTTAGATGGAGGAAAATATTGATTTTTTGCACCGGCTTAGTAGTCACTCTATCGACAACCCGGCCACAATCAATCAAGCTTCTCATGACTAGTCGTCAGAACAACAGTTGCATCGTGCAATCAGATATGCTTTCATCGTTCATATCAACCTGAAGGACCACCTTGTTGACCAATGTTGCCAAGATACTGACTGCCCTTTCGTCTCTCATCGTTTGGAGAATCTATTCGATGAAAAGAATTCGAATTTACAAACATCGCTACAGTCAATCATCTGTGAGAAATCTGCAAGTCTCTTATACGCTTGTCTCCTCCTAGATCAAGTGATACTAGCTCTGATCTCACAATAAAATGTGGATGAATATCGAAGAGATTGTCAATCCTCTTCCCATCGGCATATACTAGTAGGATATGTACAATAGTATTCTCCTTCAGCAATCCACTCTACCAGGATAAATACAGAGATTCAGTTATTTGTTCTGAAGGCAGTAGTATTTTCTTCCCGGCTTCTTCTTCTTCTTTGTCTAAACACACTTGCAAATTTATTAGCATTTATTTACCCGATCCAAAAGTGTCCGGGATCGCTAAGAGGGTTGGAAAACTAGCTTGCTTGTATACCATAACTCAGGTTCTGGAGGATAAAACAGTCCAGATCTTCCATCATTTCTTTCACAGATTTTTTCCTACATGGTGATTGGCTCGGCACACTTCTTCGGGAGCATTTTCTCAGTTCCCAGTTCCCAGTTCTCGATCTCATATGACTCTTTCTTCACATAAAGACTTGATTCTTATATGTTTGACCTACCTACATACAATTAATCGGGTGCTTTAATCGATGCTAATGGTGTATCAGATGCTTCTTCAGGAATTATATGTCCAACATTATATCGTAGAGATGATGGATATCACTGTGATCATTACCGAACACCCCGTCCTCATTTTACTCACTCCAAATTCCTTTGACTCAATCTTATGCCCCCAAGTTATCTCTCCCACATCCAATCCTGTGTCTCCGCTCTCCGTACCAATAACTTCCACTTTCCGATCGAGAATCGCAGTCTGACTAGCAATTGGATCACACAAACTAAACTGACTACTAGTTTGACCTCAACACACTAAACTGCCTGTTTAATCAGTGCACTAGAGCCCTCTGCACTGCCAAAAAAGACCGCAAGTAACACTCTCCCTACTTTATCATCCCAATTTATAAGTTTATTAAAGGTAAAATTGCTCTTCTTACCGATAGCCAGATAGACAAATTTGAAATACACTGTTTAGATATTGAAGTTTCGAAGTTAGGACATGAAAGCGTGAGGCGAGAATGGAACCGGTCAGAGAAGAGATCTTAATCCTTGAACAAGAGCTAATTGCATATTGAAAAAAAAATTCTCTATCAATTTTACTACCTGTCCAGGGAGTTCTTACCAAAATAAAATAATTTCTCGGCATCCTGGACTGCATCACTCAGATGTCAGGCAAATCACTCAGTTTTCTCTCCGTTGCTTCCAGATAATCACTATCGTCTTCGAGACTCATTTCTATGCCTTATCTTATTCATCAAAAATACATGTATGCTATAAGATACTACTATAGCCGCGGAAAAACATATAAAAGTATCCAAGTCAACGATGCCGGAAAAGCCAGAAATGCCGAGTAGGTAGTAGGATTGGAATGTGAGTAGTAGAGTTACTTGAATAGTTTACAGTTGATTTCAGAAAGAGCTAATTAAGAGATCAATAATTGAGCAGACGGTTGAGACTCGAGATATCACAAATGGCGCGGATACGATGGTGTAGAGATATATTGTATGAGTTTGTAGTGAGGTTTTTAAGTGGAGAGTAGTGTTAGAGGCGGAGAAATGTGATTGTCGTGAGAGATGAGATATAGCTAATTAAGCATGGCATGGAGCAAGAAATTATTTTATCTGTCGATTAGCTGTTACTGTAGTTATCGACTACCGGTACTCAAAAATGTAAAGAACTAGAGCTACTCATATGCTGAGCTAGAATCAGAACTATGTATTTACAACGTCACATTATCTATATGGGAAGTGAAGATACATTTTACCGAATCTTCGACTGCGTTTGGAACTTCTCAAATGCTTGACCTTTGCACTAACTAGTAGACTAGGACTTGGCTTGTTGAACAGAGAACTAAATTTGCATACTCCTATCGTAGTTTACTTGCCCTTCCGTATATTAGTGAAGGCTTCTTATACAGACAGGTAGGTACATATAATCTTAAACAGTATTCTGAATTGTCGAAAATATCTAGATAAGTTTGTGTTGAAAACAATGTGTGAATCTTTACCAGTAAAAGGTGATTATAAGAATTCCAATATCTACATCCTGCAATCTGTGAATGAGTTATTAATCTCAGTCTGAATCCATCTCGTGATATCCGCCTCTTTTATAAGTTCATCACCATCTCAAATACTGTCTTCCTCTTCCTCTTCCTCTTCCAAGAAAAAAACGTTCATCAAACCAAAACACAAGCCCAAGACCTTCAAAACTCACAAAACATCAATCACAAAAAAATACAAATCATCAAGAACCTCTCGCCACATAGCAGTAATGTGCATAGAACAATGGACATCATTCCCATGCGGCCATACAGCAATCCGAATTCAAGGATGTCTTCACCAACAACAGACGAATTGCCATCCTCCTCTTTGTCCGTATTACCAAGTTGTATTCCTTGATGCTCCTATGGTTTTTGAAAGTCCTGGTCAACGAAATCAAAATCAAAATCTGAAAGTTGGGCTGTGGAGCTCTGAGTTTGAGTTTCGGGAAAATGGTGATGTTGAGGATGGGATTGGAATGTAGTGTGGAGGTAAGTTGAAGAAGGAATGGGGAGAAATCTGGGTGGGTGGGTAGAATGGATGAGGGGATCTGGTCCATATGATATATCGATCTTGTAGAGATCTTCTTGTGTTTTGTGGAAGGGCGAGATGGTATCTTATATTCAAGAGCATTTTCGTCGTAGGATTTTGATGTACGGTTCTTATAGATAGAGCCGTCAACAGCATTGTATTTTTATATGTATTGATACAGTATTGTGACTCCAAAATAGATGTTGTATTAAACTGGTAATACTGTTGAACAGCAGTTGAACTTGCTCGCCTAATTAGTAACTTTACCTTACTCACCACTATAGTACTTACCAGGCTCGAACATCGAGGTCGTAGTCCGCATATCATATATCAATCTGACTAGAATTGAACATTGATGTTCCTAGGAACTGAATCCATTTATATTCGCTCAAGTATTCACCTGAGGACAACCAACTTTGATTGCTAGCCTCGGCATGCCGTAAAAGATGTGAATCCCTATTGCTGAGTTCTAAATTGGAATCTTTCACTTCAACAGCCACGGTTTCCCATGTGAGTACGTGAATAACAAGTAATTTGAGTCCATCCCTTGCTAAGTGCCTCTATATTAGTTAAATTATATCACGATCCAGACCACAAACTTCCATCTCAAACCACAACCGCATCTGAGCCTATCCAACCCAAAGCAACCCAATCTAAACCTCAAAACCCAGCCAAAGACTCAACAGTCCAAAGTCCCAAACTTCTCCTCAACTTTGCCAGATCCAATACTCTACCTAAAGGTTCAAACCACCCATAGTCAAGCCATCAACAAACCCAAACCTGCATTTCAAAACATATCACCAATATGTGTGCCAGCTTATTAACACGTTTCGCCTGCAACCACCCCGGCATGCGCACAGTAGATAAATGCCCGAAATTCGTCCAGCTCAAACTTAGCTCCATTGCTCGCTGTCCATATTATAAGGGATATGTGCAAGTTCTTGAGTCGGGAAAGTGTTTGGATCCTAAATATAATTGTTCCTGAGTAGGATTCGAAGGAAGGCTGGAGGGAGTTGGGTAAGGAAGGGACTGTGGAGGACGAGGTGAGGTTGCATGCAAAGGTTAGATCTGAAATCTGGAGGGATGAGATATCAAAGGGAGGAGCATAGAAAAATTGATGGAGATCAACTGGAAGTCCGACCACAGATGGGCTCAAAGGGCTGGATCCCAATATATGTAGGGGAGGAATTACAGGGAGATATCGAAGCAAATCATGACTTTGGGACCATAAAGCTGGATCTCTACGGGTCTGCAGGAGAAATATGAGAATTTTACGCCAACATACTGAGAAAAGAATATCATAATCAGAAAGTACTAGCCTCTGACTGTGAAGCGCAAATCAAAGCACTACTCTAATTTTAGATTTTATCATGAGAATATGTATGAGAATGGTTGGGGATTCTCTTCCGGTTTTGATATATTTCAAAAACATTCCTTGTAGTCAGATCTCCTAGCCTTTCGAGTCAGATAATTTCATATCAAACACCCTCCCAAGATATAAGAAACTCTCCCAAAAAGAATGATCCATAGGACCCACACTCTCCATATACTCAAACCCACATACTTCCCCACATCAAATTGATTCAAAACCCCATTTATCATTCTCATTTATCCAGTATCTTCATCTCCTTGACAATCATCACTGCTTCTAGCTCGTCTAGAACTACAAAACAAAAGAGAACAAACAGACTACACTTCCCCCTCTCTCCTCCTCCCTCTCCTCCTCCTCCGTCCACGCACTACATACAATACACAAACTCAGTAAAACAAAATTACATTTATTTTTTCTAGAAAATATTTTATTCATTCATTCATCCCACCACCCCAGAAGCCAAACCACAAACTATCAACCAAAAACTAACCACCAACCAAAAATCAAAGAATTGCATTGTGTTGCCTACTACTGGAATCGAACCAATGATCTCAGCATGTCTGTAATAATTAAATACACATACAAGTGCTACGCGTTACCACTGCGCCAAGCAGGCTATTTTTCAATCATATACTGTTGTATACATTAATTTGATACATGACTGCGAAGAAAAAAGGATGAGAAAATGAGCAAATGTTTAGATGCTTTTCTCTCTTCGGTGAGACTAAGACTACTCGTGGAGAAAGTCTGATAGAGTAGAGGAGAGGAAATCAATTGTATGGACTACATATATCGTATGTGTGCGGAATTGAGAGTTCTTCCCAGTGGAATGAATGGTATACCGGTGCGTACTCAGGAAATCTTTGCGGTAATTCGAAGTCAAGGATATGGATGGAGATGTATCGTCGGTATCTAAACCCGCTGGAACATAGACAACCTCTCTAGAACCACAATATAACAAGCCATCCGTCGTCAAGGTTACTGCCTCGAATATTAGATCATCATCTGGCTCTGCACTTTGTACAAACCCCCTCCTTTCTCAAAAGGCGAACTTATCCATACCCTGCCAACTACCCACGTGAATCCCAATGAAGATTTCTAACTTCAACAATAAGTCTCCACCATCTATTTATTCCTAATTCCTACAGAGGAAGAGTATATCAGATAGAGCTGGCTTCTCGTAATGCACCATACCTTACCATCCCTTAAAATAAATCCCAAATCCCAAATCCCAATTCCTAAAAATTAGATCCCAAACCCCCAAATCCAACCTTCCCAACCCCATCCCATCCATTCCGCCTTCCTCAGACTCCCGCTCCCACTGAACAACAAATCCCAAAATCCAATAACAAACGAAAGAAAAAAATAGAGCGAGCCCAGCCCGTCTAAATTCCAATCCACCCAGTTCATCCACTATACCCACCCAGCCCACCTAGCCCACATAAAGCACTTTCGAAGAGGTGGGAAAAGCGGGATTTGATACAGAGACACTTATTTACCTACCTCCCCTAGCAAACCCAAAATTAAGAAGCTTGTATTGTTAATGAACTAAAATTATATGCATACTAAGCATGCACATTTCCCATCTTTCTTTCATTTATGCACAGACAAGGACGAAACTTCCAAGTAAATAAAAAAGGAATCTGGAAATCAAAAAGCTGTGCAATGATGCAGACGATGCAGAAAAAAAAGAAATATAGTTTAACAATATATACAACAAATAACAATATATAATACCCCCCAAAATCTACACAAAACACTAATATAATAGGTAGCACCCAAAGCAAAACATACACCAGAAAAGAGAAAAAAGAAAATTCCCAAATCCAAACACCATCCATCTACTGTAGTACCTCTAACTCTAACTCTAACTCATATCTCATATCGTAATCACTAACTAAGTCTACCTATTCATTGCAAATACTTGAGTAATATAATAACTACAATAAAGCTCGTACCATTCTGCATGCATGTTCTTGTTCGTACTGCGCGAGCCGTAACTCATTTTCTGTTGTGAGTGCTGCTAGATTCTGTTGGAGATATATGTTAGTATGGCCACGATAGGTAGAAAGAGATGGGAGGGAAGGGAAGGGAAGGGAGAAAAACTTACAAATAATGAAGATGCCGCGCATAAGTGTTGCAGTGTGTTCGTCGCCTGCAGTATATCCAATTCCTCGTTGTCATCCGTAGAAGCCAAGATTTCCTCACCTCCATTTAGAACCCTATCTGCCTTGAATAGCTCCCCCGAAACCATAACATCAACGGCCCTTCCATTACCCCTCTCCTCTATTCCCTCTACACTCCCCTCACAAAAATCCACCCATCCTTCTTCCCTAACAACCTTTGCACACCACCCAACATATCCCGCCCACTCCTCCCCACTAGGTTTTATATCCCCCTTGGCCATCCATTCCCCCAACATACCTTCCTCACTCAGATAATTCAGGAATGTATATCGACAAGTAGGATCTAAATTGGTTGCGAAATCCTGCATGAAAATCGCTTCATGATTCAAGCACGCCATCTCCAATTCCGGAGTGTGGTTCAGGAATAAGATGGATAGCGGACTCCGTCGCACGGTGGTGGTAATGGCTAGACTGAGTTGTGCGATGGAATATTTGGTCGATATAATGTCGTATGCGCGAACGCGGTTGGTGAGATGGGGATGGGGGAGGGGGAGGGTTGGTTGAGGATGTTCGTAGATGGGGGTTTGGAGAGACATTTTGATCTTGATTTTGTTTCTTTTAGTTCTTCTTTTTCTCTTTGTTTTTGGGCGATGATGATGATTGAGCGGTAGATGATGTTTTATGAGATTTGGAAGGCAATGGTGTTTGAAATGGAGTGCTTGAGGTGGAGAGAGGTACAATGCTAGATGCGACCGAAGAACAAACCAGCATAACAGGACAAGTCGGTCAGATAAAAATTAGAAAATAATTAACAATGATCTTCAATATTAAAATTTAAAACGTAGTGCGTCCGATCAATGACAGCTGCCAACTCGAACTTGTGAAAGCGGACAAGATGGAAGAAAAGGTTAGCTTTGGGTAGGTAATCCGAGAAAGTGGTTTGGAAACGCAGGGGATGAATTCTCTAAATCTCTTTTTTGCTGGGGGTGAAAGAGATGATGCCGAATTCAGAGATCGAAACATAATAAGTCATGCCATTTCAATAATGATTTCATGTGAAGAAATCATGACAAGCCCGCTACCAGTAGAACTACTACCTTGCTAACTTCATCATCCCAGTCGCCAGCATCGGGACCGAAGCCTAATCCATCATGGCTTCCCAATCAAAGTCTTAGATTAGGTTTTAGGTTCTTACTGCAGTGACTAAAATCTAAAATTGACACTACGTCAAATGATTTTCAATCTGATAACCTAATTTACTCCACAATCTTCCGCTCGCCAAGATCCTGCAGGAGAATTCCAATCTGATAATTTTGCTTGGAATCTTTTAGTTCCCCTCCACTTTTTATCATCAAGACCCGATCCCTTGTAAGTTGGCATCGAGATGATACGGTCAACATAACAAAAAGTTTGATTTGGAACTCTCCTGTGCCTTGACTCCTGAGTCAGGTCAAGTCCAATTGATGGAAAAGGATAACCCAAAAGTCAATCCATGTGATTAATTCCATGGTTCTCATCTGATAAGATTTATCTTGTTGCTTGCGTTGCACAATGATAGATTGAAGGAAAAGGCATGTTCCTTGTAGATAGATGCATCTGGCTCTGGGGTTGGCTCTGGGCCTGCTAATAACCAAGTGGACCCGTCATCGGCCCGGTTAGTACTCGAGTAAGAATTGTGAATTATATCTCCATAATATAGCCTGTTGTACTTATGTACTCGAGTTGCAGTTGAAGCGATGTAGCATTGTAGCGTGGCACAGAAAATGACAAGATCTAACAAACTTCGAGTCTATTTGAGGTTCTTGGTGCGAGTAGAGGGTTTCATTGGTTCGTTATATATTGGCTGGCGAACATGGTCAGTCTGGGTAGATAATGCACTCGAGATGCAGTGCTACATTAGATATTGTGAAGTCGATCTGACATGTGCAAGAAGAAGGAATCCAGCTCCAGCTTAGTATCATATCCATCTTGCTTCGCGTATATAAGAGCACGATAGTGGAATATTATTTTCGATACAGGAGATAGCGGTAATCGGGAATAATCGGTTCATCGAGAAATGGAAGGCGGAGTTTGTGTGCGAGCAATCAATCAATGCTGCTGTATTTGACACTCTTGGGAATTGAACGCCGGATAAAATAAGTTGTGGCTTTCGGTCACGTGATATCGATTCGGCTCCACAGACTCTTCACAATTATACAATCGATTCTAAAGAACACCGGCATCTAGCATGATATCTATTCATCTACAGTAATACTATTTATTACCACCGCTCCAAAGATCCCGAGACTGTGTTTGAATAAAGGTACGACACATGATATGATCAAACCCGCAGACTCCGAAAAGATCACAGAAATCTAGATGCGGATATTAGGAATACAATTGTAAGAAATGCAATCTGAAGGTGTATTCCCTATTTGCACATCTTGGTTATATTCCTATTGACCTCAGTGTCTAGAACCCTACCTCAATGACAGAATTGCATATGTAATCGTTTTTCCTACCCCTTATCTCTAACATAACCCCAGAAACCTCGCCAAATTTCGAGCCCAAGTCTATTACCATATAGCAAACCACAAGCTACGCTTTCTATTCTCATTAGATGATATTTTTTTCTCTCTTCACCTTTAATGTATGCTCCTCCGTATTTACCGATGAGAAGTAAGGGGAAATATACTTGTTATGTTGCGCGGTGAAGACGGCTTTGGATATTGATTTTGATATTGATTTGAAATTGAGGATGGATAGATCAAGTGGTCATGAATATTGAGGGAAATATGAATTTTGGTGAAGCTTTCTGACAAAATTTTGGAGACGGTTCTAAAAGTAAAAATGTATGGTGTTGAGGAAGTAAATAGGATTCAGGACCATCAACGTACAAATTAATATAGAGGTGTAAAGTCTTGGTATAAGCTAGAGATTAGTATCTTCACGGAGAGATGTATATCTCAAACTCATCCGAATAGCACGAAAGTTCGATGCTTAGTTACACTATACATATCGCTTCATATTCCAAGTTATATGATCTATAATTCTAATCCCAAAATACAAACACAACCCTCAATTGATGTTCAAAACAAACTTTACTTCTTATAAGGAATCAAAAAGCTTGTTCACGATAAGAGTGAGATGACAGACACCCAGTTTCTGCTTAGATACCGTGGCGGTCATAGATTCGGTAGGGGGGTTAAATGAGTTTCATATTGCATTCTAGTGTATCCGAGTCGCTATCCAGTATGCAAACCCCTCAAAAGTACGACTCAATCCTGCAACCCCCCAACCACGAATCCACAAACAACCATCAAGAAGCACATAAATATCCTCACCCCACAACCCTCTAACCATCATCCCTCCCTCCAAATCTCACAACAACCCCCACTTATCCTCTACAACCCCATCTCAACCCGAAGCCGTACATGTCTCTCCCCACAATCACCACAATCCTCACAAACCACATCTGAAATCCGCAGAATCGGGATTCCTTGGTGACAGCTCGAGCTGTTGATACAGATCAGAGACACGAGTATAGTTTTTCGTGATATGATACGTGGGCAGAATGCGCAGGTTGAGTCGATGTGGATACACATTATGTGTTTGAGATGTCTTTGGGTAGACTGTTGTGGAGTAGTGTAGTGTTGGATTGGGTTCGAAGAGGGATGAGATGAGAATATTAATGATGTGGGTACGAGAAGGAGTAAGGAGTAGCGATGAAGAAAGAGGCCTAAGTAGATTGCTGCATCTTTGTTGATGAAAATTCATTGCTCAATGGATTTCTTTGGTGTCTTTTGGAGGATCGGATACCGGTATATGTTTTGTAAACTTTATGATTATTCTTTGAGAACTATCGGTACGACACTCGCTCCCGATAAGGAGGTCGCTTACCATGTTGGAGCCTGTCGTACAGTATAGGAGAAATTGGGTAGTGTAACTGATTCATCAGGAACGGTTGCATTCAAAGCATGCTATCAACCGTGTTCCTTTCATAAAAATCACTTCCAACGTCAACACCAATGACCCACTCAATTCATCACTTGAACGCGAATTTCTATTATCAATTCTTTACCTGTAACTCCCAATTTACTTATTTACCTCATTTATCTGCAAAAGTCCCAAGAACAGCGCACCTTAAGGAATGACCAAGCTCAAATTCACTTGAATTTCCCGAACCACTGAAAATCACAGATATTTAGAAACTCAACATACCCGACCACATAAACCAAACCTCCAAACTCCCAGTTCCTCGCTCAGCATTCATATCGAGGACGATGGATATAACGCTCATTCAACTGTGCAACAATATAATTTGTCCAGTTGCGTCAACCTTCCTAGTTCACCAGACTTCTCATTCTTAAAACTACTCTGCCAACTTTGAATCCCCGCCTAATGTAAATATTGGATACCGGCACTCGAGTACAAAAATACCATTTCGGTATCATCGTATGGAACAACAAATAAATGTGATTTTTTTTTGGAATACCATCGGGCTCTATAAACTTGTATAGCTACATAGTATTTTGAATTGCTTAATACGGGTAGGATAACAGCTCGTTATTTACTGGTAGGAGAATCTAGGAACTATCCATCCTCTTCCTATATTCATGACGAAACCGATTCTCAAAATATAATCCTCAGAGTAGCAATTTCAATACTCGAGTATAAAAATACAAGTCGTCAACTGGACAATCGCACAACCGCACAAACACTTTTAATCGCGAAATAGAGACAAATCACAGGCTGTAGAATTCCACGTGACGGCCACAGCGAGATATCAACTCGAGTGCCTTAACCCGGATCACATCACAACATCCATCTCATCATCGCCATTCGATTTTCAACAGCTTTTCAATCATTACTTGTACTAAATATTATACTCGAGTACTGCATTCTCAAGATATCTTACCCTTAAATATCCTCAAAATCCAAACAACCCAACCTAAACCTCCCAAAATTCTCAAAATCTCAAATTTCGATCTCCACCCATCTTGCAGCAATATCCCCGGCTAATTTCAGGGGTAACCTTGTCCACCCACAACTCACTCAAAAGCCCTACTCCACTCACTAATTCAACATCCCTTCATTATTCCAAAGAATAGAATCCCCAATGCCCTCCTTCCGAACTCGGCATCTGATAATTATTTTCTCACCACCACCAAAATCCAACATTCCAGGGTTCTCGCTTACCCACACACAGCTCACAAGCCCGCTCCTCCATGCACCAAAGTGGATAACCGCGCAATTCTTACCCAAACGATTAATCTTATCAATCTAATCAGATGAAAACTTTTTCACGCCCTTGCTCGATTTTGTGAGGGCCAGAATTGAACAGAATAGACTGAACTGCTGTTTTGGGTTTAGATTGGATGAAGTAGGGAATGAAGTTACGAGTATGTAAAAGTACCTACTGCATTGCATGAGTGGCCAGAGTGGAGTGATTGAGCCATGATCCATGATTTATTTTGATGGAGCCGAGTTGATTGTGGCGCGGGATTTGGGAAAGAGTTTTCGTTGATTATATTATGGAAACGGATGATATGGAGGAGGGAGGAGATGTTGGATTACTGTTTGTGTAGGCGGTATGGTATGGTATGTACTTACTGTATGTATGTGATGGTATTCTTCGAGTTAAGAATCTAGAATAGGATACTCGGATACTTTTGGGAAGGTATCTCTGGGGCAAAGGTGTCAAAGGATACAATACCCAACCACTGTTGCATTTCTTCCATATCTGGCAGTTGTTCGGATTAACGATGTAGTAATCTAGGGTTAATCTGTAGTCGTATGCACAGTGCACTATACTGTACACCACACCTTCTAGTTCCTTTCCCGATAACATCCTCGTGTTAAGATCTAGTTTTTGCCAGGGATGCATGCAGCAGGCTGCAGCAAGTCGATGCCAGTACTCGTTACGTCACAAGATACCCACTCATCTATCCATCTAGAAATCCACGAAAGCCCCAGCAAAAATGTCACAACGACCCTCAGACTTCAGTGACTCAGTCCCACCTCTACCGACCACGCAAATCCCAATCCAGATTCTCCCCGACGAAACCTTAGTCATGCCAATACAATGTACATACAGCGTGGAGCCTCCCTCCCCATTATTGGCGACCATCTGGTTCCTGCAGGAACCTCGACTGCCTATTATCTTATCTGATCTTTTCGATCTATTCCTCGCACATCTTGGTGTACTATACTATACTATACATTCGTGCATTTATAGATTTTCCAAATTTTTCTTTTTTTAATCATGCAATCGCTCTACGAGGTCGAGACCGAAAGTCCTCGTTTGTCTATTGTGCAGGGCGCTTCGAGTCCTCCGTTGTTGACGCTTACTCTGGGTGATCTACTTGATCAACAAACTCGCCTTCGTGATGGTGATGAATGTTTAGTGTGTTCGTCGTTGGGCACGAGATGGACGTATGGAGTGTTGCGGGAAGAGAGTATTGCGGTGGCTCGGGGGTTGTTGGCGTTGGGCATAAAATCGGGAGATAGAATTGGCATCTTGGCGGGTAACTGCGCAGAGTACATTTCGGTTTTCTTTGCGGCGGCTTATATTGGTTGTATATTGGTGGTGTTGAATAATACATATACGACTCAAGAGGCTAAGAATGGGCTGAAACATGCAGGTAAGGTGATTTGTGGATTTTCTCAAGGATGACGCTGATGAATGATAGGTTGTCGTATCTTATTTACTGTACCAAAAATTGGAAGGCAGAGTGTTGAAAGACTTATTTCTGAGTTAGGGCCATTACCAAAGGGAAATGGCAATTCCAAATGTTTGGATAGACTGGTGATGTTGAGAGGTTCTCGAGATGGATTTATGAATTACGATGGACTGAAAAGTCAAGGTCGGACAGGATCTATGGAGGACTTCGAGAGAGCAAGAAAGATGGTGAAGCCGGACGACATTGTGAATCTACAATTCACGAGCGGGTCAACGGGAAGTCCTAAGGCGGCAATGCTTACACACTTGTGAGTATCATCCCAAGCGGTTTCCAAGAAATGTTTCTGACACCAACAGTAATTTGGTCAATAATGCCAATTCAATCGGGGACCGATTGGCCTTCACACCTCAAGACATCTTGTGTTGTCCACCGCCGCTCTTCCATTGTTTTGGTCTCGTACTCGGAGTCCTGGCAGTCATCACACATGGTGCCAAAATCATTCTTCCGGCGGAAACCTTCGATGCTTCTGCGGTACTGCGGGCAGTATCAGATGAGAAGTGTACTGCACTTCATGGCGTACCGACCATGTTCGAAGAGATTCTTAGCTTACCCCGACCAGAGGAATTTAATTGTGACAACTTGAGAACTGGGATAATAGCTGGTGCACCAGTACCAAGACCCTTGATGAAGAGATTGTTGACGGAGTTGAATATGCGAGAATTCACATCTAGTTATGGTAAGTCTCGATTAATAATGGTGAGCGTGCGAATAATTGACAGATTTGAAAGGCTTAACGGAAACTTCACCCACTTGCTTCAATGCATATACCTATGATACCATCGATACCCGCTTGGCAACTGTTGGACAAATTCTTCCACATCTCCGAGCGAAAATCATCGATCGAGATGGGAATATCGTGCCGCAAGGAGCAAGAGGAGAACTTTGTATTTCTGGATACTCGCTGCAGAAAGGTTATTGGAATAATGAGGAAAAGACTGCAGAAGTAATGGTGAGAGATGGAGATGGGATCTTGTGGTTGAAAACGGGTGATGAAGCTTCATTCGATGAGAGAGGGTATTGCTCCATCACTGGACGTTTCAAGGATATCATTATCCGAGGTCAGTTATTTTTCGATCGTATACCCCGTTAGAAACTAACCTTTATCTAGGTGGAGAAAACATATATCCACTTGAAATCGAAACTCGCCTCGACGCTCACCCTTCCATCTCTCGCGCGATAGTGGTGGGTATTCCAGATCCCAAATATGGCGAAGTTGTGGGTGCCTTCCTCGATATGCAAGAAGATTCCGCGGCGGTCAAAAAGAAGCTGTCAGACATAGAAATACGAGATTGGACAAGAAAAGTACTGGGATGGCATAAAGCTCCGCATCATGTGTTTTGGTTTGGAGAGGAGGGTTTGAAGATGGATACCCCGAAGACGGGAAGTGGAAAGGTCAAGAAATTTGAGTTGAGAAATGAAGGAGCGAGGATTGTGAATGAGAGGGGTATGAGGCCAAAGCCGAAGTTGTAGATTAATTTATTTGGGGAGGACAGACTGGTTGGCTCGTGATTTTCGATGAGTTGTATATAGAATGCTGCTAGGTAGAATGTTTTGTAAATATAGGATATGATCTTCATGTTGGCACTTGACTCGGAAGGTAGCGCGCTTCTCCGGATCCAGTGGTGCTTAACCGTTAGCTTATCATTGTCGCACACTATTATCCCACATTTGAATCAGCAGTCACCGACACTCATCAAGAAAAGATTCGAAGCTTGATTGTAACAGGGTAATATATAACAGTTTGATAAAGTAAAGGACTGGCAGCTAGCTGTATATTATGAGAAAGGATTGAATAGTAATAATCGTGTATGAGCGCTGATACTCAGAGTTTGGAATCACAACCATTTGGTATGTTCCAGATCATTGCTAAAATCAATCTCATCGGAATTCAACGTGAATTTGTTTGAATTGATTGATATTCATGCGTTGATAAGAGCAAAGGATATCAACTTAGTTGAAAACAAAACCAGGTATCCTGAAATGTCTTTTCCTGTAACATAGACATGCTTTTCGACCTCTGGAGGGGAAAACTCGAGGAGTTGAAAGACAAAAAGATTTCGCAAATCATACAGTGTATCTCCAGAAAGTTGCGTCGTCTCCCTCATGTTGTTGTTCAAGCTTCATTTCGGGTGTATAGGAATCTGCCGTAAGCCCTCGCTCTGCGTCTCGAGCATCCCTACGGGCATTTTCCCATCTGTAATAAGTCGTCATGACAGCTGTTAATAGGAACGAAATGGACAATTGGCCGAGAAGAATTGCATGTCCTTCGATAAATCTAAAAGTGACAGAGCATGAGTATTGATTCCCTGGAAAGTCATAAATTGATAGACGAAGGAGTTTGTATTGAAAACAAGTACCTTGGAGCATCTACCGATCGATAGATAAAAGCAGCTACGATTCCACCAAAATTGGCGAAACTAACAACCATTCCGAAACCAACACCTCGTTTTAGACTTCCACTCAAGTTGTTTCCTACCCAAGCGCTGAGGAGAGGAGTAGTTGGGAAAACGCCTAAGTGATTGTCATCATTAGGGTGTGCTTCGATATAACTGAAATGTTCTTTACATACCTACAGCTGCCAGAAATGCACCAGTGTATTGAATAGGCGTTTTGTCACTTGAAATTAGTAATGCAAACCCAATAATCGCCACAGCCTGAAATCCTAGAACAAAGATTCCTCTCTGTCTTGCTTTATCGGCAATGAAGCTGGCTGAGATTGTGAAGAAACATGCAACAACATATGGGGGAACGGTCATGAGCTGCGCCGCGTTGTTGGTGTAGCCCATATCTTTAACAATAGTGGGTAGGAACAGAGACAAGGAGTATAAGGGCGTTGTCATGCACAAACCTATCATCATATTGACATATATTTTCCAGTCCTTCAATGCTTGCCATACATATTTCGAATTGAAATCATCTGAAAGAAGGTGTCGATCATCCGCAAGGCGTCTCATAACCTCTTTTCGTTCCAGCTCAGAGAGAAATTTTGCACTAGGGTAAAGTAAGTTTCGTACATAACGACATATACAAAAGAGTGGAAGCATACTTGGTCGGGTAGTCTCCAATTGCCCAATAAGATATACACCCAACGCAAAATGTAAGAAGACCTTCAATAATGAAAATCCATGACCATCCATTCTTGCCCGCTACTCCAGACATATCGGAAATTCCACGAGCGAATAGACCACCAAATGCTCCTGCAGCTGTAGCCATAGCAAAGAATAATGCCATACGAAAACCACACTCGTGTCGAGGATACCACATTGTGATATAGTAAACCACTCCCGGATATAAACCACCTTCTGCGATACCCAAAAAGCATCTGACGACAAGTAATCCCGCAAAGTCATGGACCAACCCCATGCATACCATGATGACTGACCAAACTACTACGATGGTGGTCAACCATACACTTGGACGGAGTTTCTTCATTATTATGTTGCTAGGAATACCAACAGCAATGTAAAAGGGAAAGAATACGGAGAGAGCGATGTTGTAGTCGAGGCCAGCCATATGAAGATCCTTTTCCAATCCATCAAGCCGTGCATTTCCAACATTGGTACGATCGAGAAAGCAGACTCTGCTTAGAATTAGCAATTATAGATACGTCAAGAGGCAGCCATACAAATATATTGTAGCAAGAATTGGGATGAGACGGAGATCAAGCTTCTTGACCAGCTTCTTCGTCGCAGCAGTATCAAAGCGAGTGGAAGCCATAGTCTCACTGGAATGCGACTCGGACATCTTTTCTTCCTCATGAATCTGGACTTCATCGGGTACTCTAGAACTCATCCTATTGTGCCCTCCTGAAATACTTTCTTCATCGTAGAATTGCAGTCCAGCAAGCACCCCTGAACTTATTCTGTGTAGGGCGGTAGACATATTGCTAAGAATTCGAAGATTGAACCTTATCTTTGGAATATAAAAGATTAGCTCTCTTATATGACATAGAGTGATACCGTGGGGGGTCACTGAATATATGTGTCACCAGCAACCAACCACATTAGTATAAACACGAGATACAAATTGAATTATACGACACAGCAGCATGAGACACAACCGAGTGCATGTACATGGCGATGCATAAAGGTAGAACATGACGTACTCATCCTAGATTACTCTCTATATGACTATGATGAATCGTTCATCATTTGATTAGAAGACCTCAAGTGAAGCACGTGAAACCCCGCAAAGTAATGAGCTCCGAATGTCCCTCGTGAAGTATACGAGGTGTATAGTGAAGAAAATAAGTAGAGAAGATGGTGTTGTCTTTATCTTGGTTGACCCGAGCAGAAATGAGAGACCTCAAACTTTGAGAGACCTTAAAGATCTTCAAGTTGCATAAGCTGTCGATACGACGCGACAGAAACATCAAATGGTTGCTGATGAAAGCAGGTAGCCGCTGGTACAACATAGTGCGTGGATTCGTCCAAATACGGACAGCTCTTCGTGTGTCATACCTACGATAGGAAGTATATTCGGTTTCAGATTGTCACGATAATGAAATACATCCTACATGAGCGACTGGTAAGGCCAGGAAGTCAAAAGAAAGGTCGAATCACTCCCGGGATACCTGGAAATGCAGTACACCATGTATCACCGGTACTTTGGACGGACATGAAAAGATTCAGCTTGAATCTGGAGTATGACATGACTACAGAATGGTCACTCTGTTTGCAAAGAACAAGAATATTTACTCCAGACGGGTTCGGTTCCACTGGAGATTCCGAACAGCAACGTATCGTACCCCGTTCTGTTCGACGCATCTCCCGCAAATGACAGCTCCAGAGTATCTTTCATGCTGCACTTGCTGCACTTGCTGCAATCACTCATAGTTCGTGGCTTAGAAGTTCATGACATATCGGTATATGTAACCTTATATGGGTACAAGGGGTTTTAAATCAATTGTAAAGTCGGTTGAAATGGGAAGAAGACAAATCAGAAGAAGAGTGAAGTGACAATTCACTGATATTGATTGTATCCTAGAAGTGGGTAGAAGTTAGGATTTGATCTGGTTAGGAAGAGAAGAGTGTTAGAGATTAATTCCACTATTCGTAAGCAGGCCAAGACAAAGTCCTTCGTGCCTGAGGCTCCAAGATCCTTCCCGTCTGAGAACGCGTCTCTCTTTAATCATCGTATTTGTAACCCCAACACAACTAAACATGGCTTTACCCTTACCTCCCGGCTTGACGCCAATGGAGGTTGCTTTTCTATGTGAAATGGAAATGGTTACAGTCGTTCCTCGACAACGACTCGAGAGCCTCGATTTATTAGGTGTAAGCTACCCCGCCATCTACCCCTCCAATACTCCAATCCTCCAATAAAATTCCCCCAAATTTTAAAAAAGCTTATATCAATGCGATGTCTATAGGGCAAGACATCTGCTCTACGACCACCACATCGTGCCCCTATACCCTTATGGCTTGCTCTCCTCCTCAAGCGACAACGCCGTGCGAATATTTTACCTCCACCATGGCTTCATCCTCAATCTCTCGATAGAATTCTCAAAATCGAAACCGATAACCCCGAAGGCTTCTCTCCTCCTCCTCCTCTCGATCCTCGCACACCGTCCACAATATCCCCGCCATTCCTCTCATCCAATACCGTAGACTCGTTACAAGAGTATCTGCCATATCATTGGATTGATATGGGCGAAATATTGCTTGAAGCGGCGAGCGACGATATACAGGATCCAGATAGAGTTCGGGAATTACTTAGGGATCTACGGGAAGTGAGAATGGCAAAAATGAGAAGTAGTACATTGGCAGTAGAAGGAGGTGGGCTGACCAGTCTGCAAGGCGTTGGTGCGATGGAGGTCAGTGAAGGACGAGGATTTATTACAGGCGTTATGGATGGGTTGCGAAAACTAGGAGCTTCTAGGGAAGTTTCCAGGCGAGAAAAAGAACAAGAAGGTGCTGGAGGTCGAGGTGATGGGGACAGTGAGGATGAAGATATGGAGTTATGATCAAGATGAACTAGGTTCCGTGCGACATTCATGGTACACTGCAATTTAACAAGCATCGGCGGCGTTGGAACGATATGTTGGTATATACCAGGCTCACATTGTACATTTGGATGAGGCGCAATAGTTTGGTATCATCAGGGCTGTAATTAATTGCGATACTTACAGGACTAATTGATATCTAGTGTGTGTTGGAGGATTCACCATCGACCCAGAATTTCCATTCTGCTGTTCATTCGTACGTTCTAATAAGATAAGATGAGCCGAACGGACAAGAATGCTAGGATATACAGCCTAATTTTCAATTTCGACTTGCATATCGAAACGGTGTTCATCTCGGATATGCCCTCGTCGTCTGATACCATCTTTGGAGTTGTTCTTCAATCCGGGAAAATTTAGTGCCGGTAGTTCTGCATGAAGATATGTATTGAATGTCAAAGTTGACTTCCATCCCTGATTTTGGGTGACTTGCATTATTGAAATGCACACTTACCTGGGTCTATAAAAAGCCGGTAGGATCTATGCATAGCCACGCGCCCAATATTAAGATAGGACGGAGTCTAAGTTGACAGTTTGACTCCGGCATCACTCCACCATTGCAGATTTCGTTTAATTCATCCCTAATCACTGGAGAGTTGTTCGTCAATTTAAAGTTTTAACTTTTCATCGATCATCGAGTATACCGAAAGCCGTCTTATTCCCAAGATCTAATTGGCTACTCGTCGATGTTAATCCTCAAAAATATAACGGAGGGTCGGGACGGAGATTCGAATCTTCAACACGGCCCCGCATTCGACAATTCCCGAATTGTCCGAGTTAAGATCATAGAGACTAGAACTGATATCTTAGAGACGTATATAAGTCGTATAAGTCAATGATATCTCGAATCACGCCAAAAAATAATACCTCACCAGTGACTCGAGCTCGAGTGATACAAAATGAATTATTTCGGTATCGCTGTCGCAGTGGCTATAGCGTCCACACTTTACTTTCTCGGATGTTGCCTTTACAATATTTTCTTCCATTCTTTGAAATCATACCCAGGACCAAAATTATGGGCCGCTTGCAGATTCCCCATGACTTATTACAAGTTGAAGGGTGTTCTTCCATACAAGATTAAGGAGCTTCATGATCAATATGGCCATGTGGTCAGAGTTGCTCCAAACTTTCTTGACTACAACACATCTGGAGCCTGGGAAGACATTTGTGGTTTTGTCAAAGAAGGTCATAAGAAAAATTTCCCCAAAGATTTGACAGAACGAGGCGCCGTAGCAAACGACACCAGAAATATGTGAGTGATTTTGCCTGATCAGATACTAGATTTCCAAGAGCTAATATAATTACTCAAAAGATTGAGCGCAAACGAAGAAGATCATCGAAGATTTCGACGTCTACAATCACACGGTTTCTCAGACAAAGCACTCACATCTCAAGAACCTCTGATCCAAGACTATGCTCGACAATTCATTTCCGGCCTGATCAAATTTTCTTCTTCCACCTCGGACAATAGTATTAATATCGGTCAATGGTACAACTACACAACATTCGATTTAATCGGCGATCTTGCATTTGGAGAGCCTTTCGACTGTGTCAAGACTGGGAAAATGCACCCCGGGATCCAGCTCATTTTTTCAGCCCTGGATAAGGGCGTTTTACCGAATGAGCTAAGACAATACCCAATCTTAGGGTCCATTTTCTTTTTCTTCGCTCCAAAGGGTGCGAAGGACACATTCAGGGAGCATAAGCAACTTTCTAGGGAGAAAGCCTACCGAAGAATAGATACCCCGAGCAATAAACCCGATTTTATGAGCTATATCCTCAAGCACAATTCAACGGAAAAGGGGATGACTCGTGAGGAAATTGGCGAAAACTCAAACGTATTGATACTCGCTGGTAGTGAAACGGTACTTATCCTAATCATTCCTTGATGTTTGCAGACCAGCACTAACACAACACAGACTGCATCTCTCCTCAACGGTGTGACGTACCATCTACTCCAAACCCCCACCGTCCTTCAAAATCTTGCCCTTGAGCTAAGAACCGTCTTCAAAGCCCAAGAAGACCTCACTCTCCGCGCCCTCGCTGCATGCAAATATCTCAACGCAGTCCTCGAAGAAGGTCTCCGCATGTATCCTCCCGTCCCCTCCACTCTTCCGCGTCTCGTTCCCGAAGGTGGAAGTCTCATCACCGGCACCTACGTCCCCGCTGGTGTCACTGTCGGTATCAACTTCTGGAGTGCACAATTCTCCGCCTCCAATTTTCACTTACCTAACGAATTTCGTCCCGAACGCTGGCTCAGTATCGAGGATGTTGAAGAGCTTCAGAACATGTACCCGGCGATGAAATTAAGCGATCCGAGAATCTTTGAGAATGATGATAAGAAGGCTTTTCAGCCGTTTAGTTTTGGCCCCGCTAATTGTATTGGGAAAAATCTCGCGTATGCGGAAATGAGAGCGCTGTTGGGAAATGTGGTGTGGGGTTTTGATATGGAAGGCGGTGAGGGGAGTAGCACTTGGATGGAGAGGAATAAAGTGTATGCGCTTTGGCAGAAGCCGGCATTGTGGGTTAAATTGAAGAGGGTTAATGTTTGAGTTGGAAGAGCGAGGGGGGACAGGAAGTGTAGGTAACTTGAAATGTTAAGGCAAGAAATTGTAATAAATCTGGGAGGAGTCATTTGGCTTTTTGAGAGCATTCACGATGTTCTGTATGTATAGTTATATAATTTGTCTGGTAGTATATCAATATTATCATTTAACTAATACTCATTCTCCTTACCCCAGAATCTCAATCTTACAAGCAGTTACCCATCTCCTCCCGCCTACTCTTCTATTCTCCTTCTGTCTCTCCTTATCTCTCTCCTCTTCAATTTCCCCTCCTCCTCATACATTTCTCCTTCTTCTCCTTCTTCCCAGTTCGTACACAATCCCTCCCAATTTCTCGCAATCACGTGTAAATCACGCTTCCCCCTTCATGATCCAATATTCATTCACTACTTCTAATCGAACGATTCTCAACCCCCATCAAAGTATCCCAAAATAAACAAGCAATGACTCATACTCTCACACCTCTCCTTTCTTCCTTCTTTCCCCTTCCTATCCTTTAAATTTCCTACACTCCCTCCTCTCAACTATCAGACAGCTCAAAAACTCTCCCTTAACCCTAATCATGTCGCGTACCTACGAGTATCGCACAACAACCTCGTATCGACCTCCTCCTACTCATCACCGACGATATACATACACCGATATTCATCTACCTAACCGCTTTTCAACATCGTACTCCCATTACCGAGACCCGCCTCATCGAGATCAATACTGCACTTCCTCATCTTCCTTGCCTTCTCCATCGCCTACTCCATATTCACGCTCAGCTTTTGGTCCAAGAAATCCTGTTTCGACGGCGTATACGGTCGTTTCTCCTGTTCAGTGTACTTGCGGTTCATGTACTCCATATATCAACTCCTGTTCACCTCCCTGCTGTCATACTCCGGTATCTTATACGTCTTGTGCTGGATGTGTTGGATGTGCTGGATGTTGTATCCCTGGATTTCCGGTACTGAGAGCAGGTACGCCAGGGATTTGTGTTGATGATGCTGGGAAGTTGGGGGGAAGAAGGGCGGGACGGAGGGTTTCGTTTGAGGGGGAAAGGGGGAGGAATAGGAGTAGAGGACGGGCAAGGGATTCGAGGGAAGTGAGGGAGAGGACGCCGACGCCTTATTATGAGGATCATGTTAGGACTGAAAGAAGGAGTGATAGAAGTAGCAGAAGAAGGGGGAGTAGAGAAAGGGAAAGAGAAAGAGGTAGGGAGTTCGAGAGGGTGGTGGAGTATGATTATATTGAGCCGATACCGGTACCAGTTGTCAGAGAGAGGGAGAGGGAGAGAGTTGTAGACTACGTAGATGGGGATGGAAATGGAGCTCGAGAAGGGAGGGACAGGAGCAGGAACAGAAGTAGGGAGAGAGGAAGAGAAACGAGCAGAGTTCGATATGTGACGACGACTATTCCTCGCGCTAGATCTAGATCTAGAACTATATCTCGAGATAGGAGAAGAACGATATACTATGTGAATAGGGGAAATGGCCGAGAAAGGAGTAGAAGCGGAAGGGAAAGGGAAAGGGGAAGGGAAAGAACAAGATTAGATAGTGATGAGGAGGAGGTAGAGAGGGAGGTGAGGGTTAGGAGGAGATATAGTGTTGGGGGTTTGGCGGAGGGGCAAGGTGTGAGATTTAGGTTTGCCGAGTGATGTGATTGGAGGTGTTGGGATGGAGTTTTGGTTGGATTAGGATTGATGCACTTTAGGCGATAGTCGATTGCATGGTTTTGCTGGAATTTTAGAGGTATATTCTTTGATTTTGAAAATTATATTTATATGGGTTGGGTGTATATCTAAGCGAGTGAAGATTGTTCGAATCGTGATCGCTTATTGTGAAGGTCGAGATAGGAGGTGAGTAGAGAGATAATGAAGGTAGTATGGATAGAAATAAGAAATGTCTCGGTTGGATTTGGATGATAAAGGGGATATTAGATGATAAAGGGTATATGGGAATGCTTTGATGTTCAGCCTACTCGTTCGACCTAATTCAGCACATTGAGTTCTGAATGTACAGATGAGTATTGAACCTTCAATCGACAATAGACAAGTGATCTTAGGATTGTGATATCAAGAGGAAGAAACGAAAAGGGAGAGTTATAAAAATTGACAAATAGTAATGAAAGAATATCAGAGCAAGATCGAAGTAAGTCAGAGATTAAATGGAGGTATAATATTAGATAGTCCGACATAGTCGTGTCATATTGATATGGATACTGTTGAGCATGTAGAAAGATCCTTACTATGAACTATCCGATAGGCATCTGACTAGGATTAGGTCCGGATAATCTCAGTAGTTGGTTGAAAACGTGTGAGGAAGATGTTTGAGTGGTCTTCAAAAACATCTAAATCTGAAGAGTGATTGCATTCATCTAGATGCGTCGTTTGTGCGCAGACTGATTTTGTATTGATAAGTGCTACGACTCGAAGTCTCATTACACCACTTACTTACTGAATCATTGGAAGCGTTTCTTCCTCGAGTTTCCGAAGTCCGCTGTCGTAGTAGGTTATACGACAAATAGACACGGAAAGGAGCATGAACTTACGAGGTGAGGACCGTTTCGTATAACAGGAGGTATGTTGTTAATATTGGTGCTTTGGTGTCATGCAGCAACGTGCCTTGGTGGGCATCTGTTTATCCTTGCTTTCGAACGTTTTTGTCTTGGCTATTAGGCTATTGGTCTTCGAATGGGTTTATAGCCGCATCAGTAGCATGACAAGGCAGATACATATTGCTGTGGGGGTTAGCAAATTTCCATCCGATTTGAGGAGTGTTTGCTTTCCGAAACTGGGTATGTCACTGGAGGCTCGTAAAACCAAGAACGTTAGAGCGCAATATGCACAAACCTATTCATGGACCTTTCAGTGTTGATTTTGAGTCGGCGTGCTCCATGTTCTCTCGTGTAATGGTAAGGCTGAGCAACTGCTTGGCTAAAGTCATGATGCGAGTCGGTTGTGTGATGCTATAATCGAAGTTTTGTGTAACGAATCAATGGTGCTCAGCATCTCGGTGAGTGTATTTGGATATTCTATCCGGTTCAATCCAAGCAAGATGTTATGCTACAGTCCATATCGTATATGCAAAGACACCATAGAATCGTTTAGAAATGAATTTGGATTGGATCTTGATATGTGGTGTGACATGTTTGCGGCTCGGTGCATCACGTTCGTGCCAGGCTATGGCATGGCACTCAAACTTCGCACTCGTTTTCTCGATCTTCTTTCACTCCGCTCTCTTTCATTTCATCTGGATCATTTTATTCAAGGTTATATGAATCAAATGATGAAACGATGAGCAGCACTTATGCTTATACTAGAGAACTGATATCACTTCTAAAGGTAAGTGGTCTAAGGCGTGAAGCGAATTTTCTCATGACTAATTATAATTCATAGGTTCATCATCCATCTCAGAATCCCCATCATTTGGATTTTGATCAATATCCGAGTAATCGAATCGATCCAAAAACTCAAACAAAACTCAAACAACCTTGGTTCACACTCTAAGCGATGTCGCGGACAAATGACCACGATGATCATACGCAGATCAATGCCTCCGAGGCTACTGCCATGGTCTCATCATCACAAGCTGCTGTCTTCGAGAAGATGTTGAGTTCGTTGGAGCGTATTGAGGGATTGATGGAAAGAAATGCGAATGCCGCTAACAAGAAAGATACCTCGCCCGATGAGAGTTTCCGTGATTGCAGAACAAAAAAGCATCAAGAAACAAATTCACAACCAGAATCGTTGTTATATAGAGCTGCTTACGCAATTGGTAACTCGTTTTTTCCAGCGTCGTCGATTCACAATTATGGACCCAAGCTATGTACAGTTAATGATATCCCAGGGTATCAAGACCTCCCAACCTGTCTCGCCGAATTCCCACCTGATTCTTCCGGATGGTATCATTTGACCGTATCTAAATATTGGTTAGAAAGACAGAGCCTGGAAAATGCCAAAAGAGACTTTAAGGAGTCTTGGCAATTATTGCAAAAGATGCAGGAATTCAATAGGACCCATCTGAGGGATTATTTAGGTGGAAGAATCCGTATTGATGTTATCGATCATGCTATTGCCGACGCAGATGCTACAGCATTTGATGAAAATGGGCGTGCTTATGAGACCTGTATGGTTCCTATTCATTATCAACATCATCAACATGAAGATGCTAACGATATAAGTGGGCCCGTTAGAACGTCCCTTGGACAGCGTACAATACATGCCAACTGTATAGTATATTATCGCTATATCAATAATAATCAGGATGGAGATCCGCCCGTCGTAAGGGATAACCCCAACCCTAAGATTTGTCGTACTATGTAAGTGACGTAACTTCAATCCATGAATGGCCTAACAAAGCATCTGTATTAGAATTTGTCGAGGCCTATTTAATGTCGAAGGGGATTTTGATGGTTTCAATAACAGATACCTGTTGCTCGGCCACCACGATTTCAAAAGGATGGTTAAAGATCATTTGGCGTGTTTTACTGAAACTGAGAATATTTTCGACACAAACTTCTTTGAGCCTGATGAGTTCATGGGTGGCTCTTGCCAGTCAGAGACTGAAGCATGGAGATGGAAGAGTGGGGAACTTTTCCCCGATCAAGGACAAAAGTCTGGGTGGGGATATAGGCGAAAGAACATCAAAGTAAGCTTATGGCGTCCTTACATTATGAACCACGACCAAGTTGATCACCACAAATAGATAATACATTGGACAGTCTATCCCGCAAGGGTATCTAACGACGCAGTTCTAGCTCTCATTCCACTTGGGGGTACATTCAATTCTCTGTGGACGGCACGATGGAAACAAACGCCCAGACACAAAACGGTCATATTCTCCCTGCTGGTGATCTCAGCCACAGACGCGATAATATCGTGCTGGAAAGCCCTTGAGATCAAAATGATAGCTTTGTTGAGTACAGATCAACTCACTGACTTTATGGATCCTGGAGAATATGTTCACCAATTATACGATCGAGCAAATTTTTCGAAGTCAAGGTTCTATTTTTGGGCTATCGGATGCCTGATGGCCTTTGATGACCAGATCAGCCTCAATATAGAGGCTATTGATAAATTTGCGAACCCAAAAGCATGGTATTGGAGAGGAACATCAATCGATCCTGAGCTTGCTAAGGATATAGCAAACAACCGTGAGAAGTTAGCTCAGATTCGACAGCAATTTCGCAAAGATCTAAAGCGCTTGGAATCATTGCGTGATGGTGTGAGTACTATCAACTGGTTATTCAAAGCAGCTGCTGATTGGAGGCGAACCATCTAGCTTTATAATGGCAGTACCGTGATGGAAAGCAGACAATCTAGAGTTCTTGGGGAAAATGTCAGGCTGCTGACATTTGTGAGCATTTTCTTTCTACCTTTGGGATTCTGTGCGGTAAGTCATAGTCTTTGCGCGATTCTTCCCACTTACGCTGATTATATCAAGTCTGTTTGGAGTGTTCCATCTGTCAACGCACGCTGGCCGGATCTGAGAATTATGGCAATAGCTGCGACCGTTTTCACCACCTTTACGATCTCTATTGTTTGTAATCTAGACCGACTGATATGGTTGCTCAAAAAAACTCTGGAGTCCCCTCGAAATAAGCTAATTGCAAGAATGCCATCACATGGAACAGCCTCCAAGACATTACCAGAGAGGCGGATTCGACGTTCCAAACATATGGAACCAAAAGAACTATCTCAACAGGAGAAGGATATCGAAAAGTGGGCCAACAGAGCGAAATCATTCGAGCCGTTTCCCCGTTCGGACTTGCCTTCACGACCTACTCATTGGTGGCTATTCATGTTTGCCATCAAGCTTTGCGTTTCATATATCGCGTTGCAAATCAGTCGACTAAAAGCTTGGAGTTCAGCCAAAGCAAATGTTCTACTCAAGAACATAACCAGAACTTTTACTTCAACCGAGCGCGTTATACCAACAGGTCCCGAGAATACGATACATGCTCCTGATGACGATGGTACGGTACAAAGGAATGCCAGCACTTCCGCACAAGCAATTGTTCCCCCTGAAAATAACACGCCAACAATTCATCCCGAACCACTTCAACAAATAAATCAAAACTCGAGTTTGGCAGATCTGACAAGTGTGGTGGTTGGCAATGATGGAGGTGTTGAGAATGATTCTTTGAGTATAGCTATGGCTACTCCTTTGCCAGCGTCTGATTCTATTTCATTGTGAGCATGGGGGAATTCATGATTGGAGCACTTGATGTTCTTACTCGGCCACAATGAATTTTTACATTACTTTAATCGACAATTTGGTTTTTAGGGTGGAATAATGGTTTTATACAGTTATATTTCTCGCGCGTTATTCAATGTAGTCGGTAGTTGATGACCTCTAAATTTTCAGATATTTCATCACCAACCCCTTTTTAATGCGATGTGATTTTGAATCCCATTATATGAATCATTATAAAATCACCATCAAACACTGTGATAGACTTCCGGGCCTCCGACCCAGACCATCAGTATCAGGGGTAGCTAGGCGAGAACACACTAACACTAATACAACCCAGCCAAACCAAACCATAATTTACTCACAAACACATACATCGCTATCACTAGCCATCAATTAAGTTCTACACTGGCGTGAATACGTGTATACGTAAGACCAACATAGTAAATTCATAAAATATCTTCTCCAACTTGAACTAGATCTAAATCTCCGATATTTCTTTTAAAAGATTATCAAATCAATTTAGACACTTTGAATTAAATATAGCCCTCTTCTTCTGGGTTGGGTTTAATAGTTGATAATACATACAGGATTGATTGATTGATTG